ATCAATCTACATTATTTCCACAATAATTTTAGAAAAATAATATCTAAGTAATTTTCGCTCGCAAAGTATTCAAAAAACAATAAACGCATTAATGCAAAATTCAGTTTTACAGTTTTTACATTCAAAGTTTTACAGGCAACCTTCCTTTTTCGATTCCGCAATCGCAGAATGTAATGAAATCGTATAATGAGAAAAAATAATAAAATCATTTTATTATTAATTAATAATTTTTCCTATTGTACTTAAGAAAATATTAAATATTAAAAAATACAGTATTTTTAAAGTTAAAATAAGATTAAACTAACGAATACCAAAACCAAAGTGATGTAGAGACACAACGGGCTTGTATACCAATGGCGTAATACACGTAACTGAAGAGCAAACGAAAACAACAAAGTCGAATTAATTAAGTTGACTTGGTTGCAGACAAAAATCACGACTCCTGTAAATCGAGTTACAGTATCCGATAAGAATAAAATACAATACCAATATAGCCCTATTGTTGAAAAAATTTGCTTATTTTTGCTCATCTCCAGTTTTGCTTAGTAGAAATGGCTAAAAAGTACGCAAAATACGTACGGAAATACGTTATTATAGGACCACCTGTCTAAAAGACCACTTTTTGAAGGAACCATGGGTGGTCGCCATAGACAGGTTTTACTGTATTTAGTTCCAAATCAGTTCACCCAAATTAACAATACATCAAGAACATTTTGATGTACACAACAAAAAGCAAATACAACAGTTATAATCTTGAATAGTTCCACATTTGATTAGATCATTGGTTTTACTGCATCCAATCTGCAAATCCACACCACTTAGTATTTACATTCATGAAAGACCACTTATCACAAAACTCATCTTCTCTTAGATGAAACTGTCATTGGTTTTTGTTCCTCTCAATCTTGACATTACAATTCTAAATCTGTCAAACCACTTTAAAAAAATATTTGATTCTAGCATTCCAAAACAAAGTGTTTGTTCCACTGAACTCCTTTTTGAATCTTTCTGAGTTTGCATTCCTTCACTCCATGTTTGATGCTTCAAATACTTTCTAATTTATAAGTCTACAGGATCAGTCTTTGATCCTAGTACTCTGCCATTTTTTAAAAATCCTTAGCTCTTAACTCTAAAAACTCTCATGGAGAAAACTATAACAGACAAAACTAATGCTTCTCCAAAAATATAGGAATGATAGAGAAGTGCTGCAAAAAAAAAAAAAAAATTTTAAAGGATGAGATTCAGTTTATTGTTTAACTTGTTACATAGATGATATTTGAGTCATACTTCCAATTTGAAGAATAAAGGAATAAAATAAGCAGAATAAAGGACGCCCACTGATACATTTACAGAGAGGCTTTTAACTGAATTAGTAATTTCTTATTACTAATTAAAAGAACTGGATAATAAAGAATACTTTATAAATTCGGGAATGAGAAGCTTCGCAGGATATGTTGACAATATGTTAGTTTACAGAGAAGAAGAGTAAATGCTAAACATTTTATTAAGATATTTTCAAGTTGGACAAAAAAATTAAAGTCAAAAAGAAAACAAGAATTGAAAAAGATAATTCATTTTTAGATAGTGGATTAACAAAAGTATTGATGAATATAGATCAAGATTACATTTTTTGAACCAATTTATTTACCTGTATTTGAAAGATCTTTACAAATATTGGGTAGCAGCAGCATTTAAAAGCCCTTGTTAAAATAGAACTAGTTTTGTCATGAACATGAGAGTTCTTAAAATTAGCATTATGGGTTTTACAAAGAATGGCAGAGGAATGTAGAATTGCAAAAAGAGAATTTGATAGGTTAGTTTTGTGAGTGGAAAAGAGAAAAACTGGCAATAAAGAGAGAAATAAGAAGATAGCTAAGTGCAATGTTAACTCAGTGACCAAAAGCTCTAGAGAAAATAAACCAGCAACGAGTTGCTCAATTTTTCAAGCATTTAAAATTTTGATGTGCCATCTGTTATTATATTTTATTAAAAAACTTTTTATATTTTTAACTATTATAAAATAACAAAAAGCTTAATTTTGAGGGTAGAGATAAATTTTATAAAGAATTGTAAATGCTAATAATGAGTAAAATTGTCATTAAAATCTGACCTTACTGGAGATACACACAACTCCCATTATCTCCCCACCTCCTCGACCTTTAATCACCAAAATTTAATACTGTCAATCCCTCTAATACACAAACCTTACTGCAAAATTTCAGAAATTTTTGACAAAAAACACGGGAGTTATTAAGCTTCAAAGAGGGTGAATAAAACTGTGCCCCACACACACATCCAAACCTACAGAAAATACCCCCAAACTTTTTTGCATTTCTCAACATTTCAAGGTATCCTAAGTCCAAAAAATGTAAAAACCTTTGGAGGTCATTTTTTCATCAATCGTTATACTTTCCCTCATATATAACAGCCAGGAAAGTAAAAAATCAAGAGTGAAGAGAGAAAAAAGGGGTCTGGAAACAAGACAAAGAGCCATTATTTTTAAGACTTAGGGAAGAAAGAATAATGATGACACTAGTGGAGAATGTGTTAGAGAAGGATGTAGGAGTTAAATGGTAAGAAAAAAGTTGTTGGGAGTTATAAAGGATCATATAGATGAAAAAAAATTATGGATTTGGAAAAGTAGATAATCTCAAGGATAGAGAAGCATTGCTGCCAGCGTGAAAGATGGTGAAACAGAAATGAGAAAGAGAGTTAAGAGCAGAAAATAAAGATTTTTCTAAATGGTCTGAAAGATAACAACAATAGAGAAATAGTGGCAAGGTCAAAATTGATTACAGCAGAAGAGAGTAAGAAAAAGAATGGGTTTTTTTTTTATTGAAGAAAACAGTGCATAATATTTAAATTAATAGTTTTTCTGCTTGGTTGGTTGGAATTCAAAACATGTAGAATGAATTAGACTTTTGGAACTAGCAGACTTCCAAAGAATTGAAATTTTTTAATAGGCACTTTCGAAGTGTTAGCTCCTGATAAGCTGGGATGCTCCCTTGGGACTGGATGTAAGAGTTTGTTGCTTTTTGGCTTCTTTAAATTTTATTTGTTAAAATTATATAAATAAAAAGTGAGTAAATAATTCCATTATTTCTAGTAATATTACCAAAAAATCTGAAGTCTCAAATCAATAAAATATTTTATGCACTGCAAAACATTAAAGTTTAATTCTCAATACTTTGCCAGAATACCACATCATCTGTCCAATCAGTTAATTTAAGTATCATCTGCTTATTTTTCTTATTATTAATTTAATTTATATTGTTTTATATTGCAACACAAAAACAGAATATTGTGCAAAGCAACGTAAAATGTCAGTTTGCCAATCAAAGATGTCATAAGAAGTGCCCCATGTGCATTCATACGCTGTACTATATACAGGTAACCCCCGTATAACACGGCACTTATATAGCACAGATTCACTCTAACACAGTTCGAGAATTGGTTCCATCCCCGTATAACAAAGCACTGTTATAGCACGGATTCACTCTGACACGGTTCGAGAATTGGGTAAAACCCTCGTACAACATGAAATGTAATAAATTTTTACGTACTTAAGTAATAATAGTTCACGAAAATTATTTTCGTGAACTATTAATACTTAAGTATGTAAATTTTCTTTTCTTGTTGGAATTTCAATACACATGGTCCTTCTCAAAACTTGTTTCAATGTTGCCAGATCTCAACGCTTCTGCTTCTGATGTTGCCAGATGTTTTTCCCTTATTTCATACTTGCTTTATTCTCCATAAATGCTTAGCATCATATAAGGAAATTTATAAAGATCTTTTAACTAGATGCAAGCAATCTAAAATTACATACTTTTTGCAAAAGGTAAAGCATGGATCTGAAGATAATGCAGAAAAATGCTCAGAGGATAAGGATAACTTGCCAAAAAGAAAACGCTCTCGGTTAATAGTNTAAAACACAACTGTCACACAAACACAAGTCCAAACATTGTACTCATTCTGCAATGGATTTCACTTGCAATGTGTCTTTCAGTTCGCAAAAAGTATAACTTCACAGACCTCATACACTATGTGAAAATTCAATATCACCACTGGAATGATTATACTTGATAAAAACTAAACAAAATGGCTGGAATTATTAAGTAAAGTGCAAAATCTGGTCACTGTTGTGTAATGCTTAGGTGCCATGTTTCCAAGGTTACTGATCTGCACTTATTCACCAACAAGAGGTTAATTTCCAAATAACCCTCATATTTGATTGATACAAAACTATTTGGTCGTCAGAAATATGTTGTAACTGTGATTAATGTATTTTTTCTTCATATACATATGATAATTTAAATAATTTATTAAAAATTAATCAGATTTACTGATGATGATAGTAAATTCAAATTTTTCTATGCTCATACTACATTATGAAATGAATATGAAAACTGTAATGTTTTAAATAAAAATGTAGCTTTCATAATTCAAATATAAAATTAATAAAAACTGCTAATTTAATTGCTATTTCATTACTTTTTAAAGAAAAACTAGTGTTGTTTAATTTTAAAGACTTTGTAAAGTTTTAACCATTTATTATAATCAAATAAATAGAACAAATTTTAAATTATAACTAAGATCAACATCACACTTATGATTTTCTGATGATTAACAGTTTCTTTCATAAGATAAACAAAAACTTTTAATATCTGATACTATTGAAAAACCAAGCCCAAGAGATTGATAATTGGCTTTTATTGATATATTAAATTAGAAATTATAATAGCTCTGAAAGCAACTTGCAAACATTCTAACATTGCAAACATTAAATTTTATGAAGAATGAGAAAATTTGATATATCAAACAAATTTATTTTCAAAAATTTCTTTTGTGATATTCCTAATAAAAAATATAATCAAAATTTTGTGTAATTTTTAAAGTATTGCTGATGGTGAAAACGGTGAAAAGGAGGACAGACACAATATAATATATATTTTAAACACATATCTCAAACAACATAAATTATTTAATCGTGCACTTACCTTTTCAAATACAGAACAAAAATTGGACACAATACTCTGTGTGAAAAGATTTAAATATTGTCTTCCAACATTTTTGACAATAGAATCAATCAGATACATCACAGGTAATTTTATTTCTGGTCCAACCTAAAAAGAAATATTGATAAATTTCACTTTTAGCAAAACAATTTCTTTTTGAAGTATTGCATTAAATAGAATAGCACAATAAATAAATATACAGGTAAATGAGTAAATGATGTTCATCAAAAAGGGTTTATTAAAAAAAATTATCCTGACATTTACAGTCTTATGGTTTAGAATTTAACCTCCAGTAAGCAATTAGAAAAAACAATTGATTATTTATTTTGACATCATCACAATGCAGGACTGCAATTTTTCATTGTAATGTTCTCAATTCTTTTAGTAGTGTCTTTCCCCTGTACATCTTACCTGTTAGCAATAGAGTCATACCAGATATCTAATTCCATTCAGAAAAAATTTTTTAAATTGAAATAACCTGACTTCTGGTTCAAACTGGAAGTTCATATATAATTAATCAGGACCCCTTGCCCCTAAGCTTTCCACATCTGGTCTCTTCATTCATTTATCTAACTTTGTTCTCAAGATTAATGAAGGACAGACAAACAGATAGACAAGTGGATGACAGTGGGAATTTATAATTTTTCAAATTCCAGCTAACAAGAAAGAAAGAAATCAATTTTATTATGTATGAAAGTTAGCTACATATCAAAGTTTCTTCTCAACATAATTGCCCTGTAAATGCAGGCATTTGTCATAGCATGGGACAAGTTTCTATATCTAATCAAAGAATGTTGAAACATTGGAATTGAGCCAGTCATTTATGTGAAAATGCTGCATTTCTAATCAGACCTTCATTTGCAGGAAAAGATGAAAATCACTAAGGGCAAAGTCTGGAATATATAGTGAGTATAAAAACTGATCCCAATAAAACTGCTGCAAAAGATCTTTTGTGATAGTAGTAGAAAGTAGGCATGCATTGTCAGGTAGCTCAATACAAACATTCCTTTTCGTCTGTTTTGAATGGTTCTATGCAGCTTTATGAATTTCACAGTACATTTATTGTGAAATTCATTACTGAAATTATTATGGTTTCTAGTTTTTTGATTTTTGTAGTGAATGTGTGTGTATTCACTGCTAAGACTACTTTCATTTCAACATTGACAAACTTTCACATTTTGTTGCTTCTAACAAACTTGTCAAGAAATCTGTCCCAATCATCATGATACCACTGCAAAAATGTCAAGTTGATATTCTTTGGAAACAACAATTAACACCTCAATACCCCTTCCAGCAGTCAAAAGAATTTACTAATCTAACGTTTTTGGCTGTCTTTTAGAGGCCCTCTTCAGGATGAAACATTAAAAAACAGTTCTATCTTTTGAAGGATTCTAATAATCGAATACAGCTGTGTTCCGAACTTTTAAATATTTAAACGATGCGTACGATATTATATCATACGCATCATATATCAGTTTGTCCATCACAAAATTTTCTACACCATTCCCTAAAACACAACTGTCACACAAACACAAGTCCAAACATTGTACTCATTCTGCAATGGATTTCACTTGCAATGTGTCTTTCAGTTCGCAAAAAGTATAACTTCACAGACCTCATACACTATGTGAAAATTCAATATCACCACTGGAATGATTATACTTGATAAAAACTAAACAAAATGGCTGGAATTATTAAGTAAAGTGCAAAATCTGGTCACTGTTGTGTAATGCTTAGGTGCCATGTTTCCAAGGTTACTGATCTGCACTTATTCACCAACAAGAGGTTAATTTCCAAATAACCCTCATATTTGATTGATACAAAACTATTTGGTCGTCAGAAATATGTTGTAACTGTGATTAATGTATTTTTTCTTCATATACATATGATAATTTAAATAATTTATTAAAAATTAATCAGATTTACTGATGATGATAGTAAATTCAAATTTTTCTATGCTCATACTACATTATGAAATGAATATGAAAACTGTAATGTTTTAAATAAAAATGTAGCTTTCATAATTCAAATATAAAATTAATAAAAACTGCTAATTTAATTGCTATTTCATTACTTTTTAAAGAAAAACTAGTGTTGTTTAATTTTAAAGACTTTGTAAAGTTTTAACCATTTATTATAATCAAATAAATAGAACAAATTTTAAATTATAACTAAGATCAACATCACACTTATGATTTTCTGATGATTAACAGTTTCTTTCATAAGATAAACAAAAACTTTTAATATCTGATACTATTGAAAAACCAAGCCCAAGAGATTGATAATTGGCTTTTATTGATATATTAAATTAGAAATTATAATAGCTCTGAAAGCAACTTGCAAACATTCTAACATTGCAAACATTAAATTTTATGAAGAATGAGAAAATTTGATATATCAAACAAATTTATTTTCAAAAATTTCTTTTGTGATATTCCTAATAAAAAATATAATCAAAATTTTGTGTAATTTTTAAAGTATTGCTGATGGTGAAAACGGTGAAAAGGAGGACAGACACAAAGTTTTAACTTTGTTAAAAAGTTGTATTTATATTTTTATGTATTAAAAAAAATATAATCATCATCAGACACAAAAAATCATCAATAACAATAAAAACAACTCTGGTCGAACATCTCTAAATCAAAAAATATTGTAATGTAAAAAAAATACAAGAAACTGCAAATCTTACATCAGAATTCTTTATATTTTAATCACATGCTTTTTTAAATCTTAAAAAAAATATTTCTAATTATGCTATTTCTGTTATTCTTAATTACTACTATTTTCATGTTTATTTGGAATAATCTCTCAGGATATGTATATTCACTACACAAATGTAATGAATTATACAGTCGATCCCCCTATAACACAGGTTCCTATAGTTTGGATTCCTATATCACAGCGAAAAAATTGTGACAATATTTATACAAACATGCTAAAAAAACTCGTATAATTCGGTAAAATGTCATTGCCGACTTGTGTCGCGACAGGATTGGTTGAATCTAGACCAATAGTGGATATTGTACAAACCGTTGAGTTTAAACGAGCAGCAGACCTACTAAAAACCATTTATTATTTAACGTCCATAAAAATTATATTTATATTAATGATGTCTCCAAAGTTCAGCAAATTTTTCACAAAAAAATAATTTATCAGGAAGTGTGCGCGCTCCATTCGATGACAAGCTCTATGACGAAAACAAGTTTAAGCAATGGCATAGTTGAATGGTGCAGGCTCGGTAAGTAATCCTACAATTTTTTGTTTATAGCATAGTTTATATGGATTATTCCCAAAAAATTATACATATTTTGGAAATGTTGAGTCAAATTAGTCTAGAATCGATGGAAGAAACCTTTCAAACAGCCGTAGTCCGTAAACTGCATATGTGCCGGGCTATGATTGGCTGGACTCGTAGAAAATGGATTCATAAAAACCAGAATGTATCTACCGTGTTATAGGGGGGTCAATTGTAATTGAAACTCTGGCAATCTTACACTAATTTATTTTTTTCATTTATATTTAGCAACTAACAATATTCTAATAAACTTTTTAAAAAAATACATAATTTATTAAGGTAATTGATATTTCATTTCATCGAGAGTAAGTGACTGTTGAACAGTATAGCATAAAATACCAATATTTATATCAAAATTTATTGGGATAAATAAACAAATAATGTAAATATGACTAAAATTTTTAAGATTGCAGACTAAAAAAGCTTTCCAATTAAGAAAAATTTAAATTTAATTAACCAAATATTTATTAAATATAGTGGTACTGCGTAATTCAAATGACTAACTTTAAACGCTTCACAGTTCAAACACTAAATTCGACAAAAAATTTGCCTTGGGTTTCAAATGATGCATCAGAATTCAAACTGCAAGCACTGAAAAAATTTGATTGAACCGTAAACACAAGTCATCTCTCACTCCATGTTACAATTGTACGTTTTCAGTGCTTTTTTCACTTTGTTTTTGTTATGTTTGGTTATATATATTGTTTTTTTTTTCCATCAATTTTAACAACTTCTTCCTGAAATTTTTCTTTCTGGACTTTTGAGTGCCCTGTACATTGTTGATCTGTTAGTTTAAAATTTCAAAAACAGAACTTTTTAAACCACATTTGACACATTTGAAGTTTAGGAGCATCTTTCCAATACACATTACAAACCTATTTTACTGTTTGTACAGTGTTACAGTCTTTTCAAAATTCATAGAGTAACATGCCAGATATGCTTTTAATCTGAAGACATTACAACTTGATTTTATTCAAACAAAATACAAAGTAAAAAGTTTAAAATAAGTTTCCAAACAAAGAATACAATCTCTCATTAGCAATGCATTAAATTTCATGACTGTTATAATTAAATCACTCAACTACATTAAGTAACTACAGCTGTTAAACATAAGCAAAAAGCATTTTGCTCAATTCAATATAACTTTTACTTATTAACTATGGAATCTGAAAAGGCTGTGGAAGCAACAAAGTCTAAAAGGAAGGTTGTAGTATCAACAATTGAAATTAAAAAGGAACTTATCACAAAATATGAGAGCTGTACATATGTGGCAGATCTGGCGACCATGTTTAAGATGCTGAAGTCCACTGTATGTGACCAATAAATGCAATTTTCATTTTATTATACAGTATTTACATATTCTATTTGATGTTTTAGTGTTTTAATTTATTATTACAGCATTTAATTGTGTTATTTTTACATTAAATGAAGTGTATTTGCAGTTTTAATTTTATCAAAAATGGATATTGTTTGGGATCTGGAAATGAATTAATTCACTTTTCATTATTTCTTACAGGAAAAATTGCTTTGGATTTCAAATGATTCAGTGTTCGAACATCCTCCTGGAATGAATTAAATTTGAAGTACTAGGCACCACTGTATTTGGTTGAACTTTTATTTGATAAATATATCAACAGAATCTCTTAATAATAATGTAATTATTTTAAACTTGTATTTTCATGTTCTTCTAAAAGATTTATTTCTGATTAATGTTGTTATTTTTAAATTTGGATTTCATAATCAATATTTTTTATTAACCAACATAGTAGCAAAACCTTGAACCAAACCACTATATATTAATTAAACCAATTTT